ACCGTGACTATGACCGTGACTAAACAATTATATAAAACAAACACTTAGCGTTTTTTTAAAAAATCCTACGCACCATATCTCAAACCCTAAACTACCTCTTCCTTCTCTCTTCCTTCTCTTCCAGTTTGCTTAGTGCCGCCGCCGTCGCCGTCGCCGCCTAGCATCTGCCATCGCCGCCGTCGCCGCCTAGCATCCGCCGTTGCCGTCGTCCACAACCAGTAGTCCGCCGTCGTCCGCCGCCTTCCGTCGCCGCCCCTTCTTTTCTCAGTCAAGGTTATGTGTTCTTTTCATCTTATTTGCTAATATTTGATATAAAATCCAAAAATGCATGATACTATACTCAAATGCATGATAAGATACATGATTTTTAGTTTCATATCATCTTGTAATGTTCAAAAGTTGTATGTATGATTTATTATATGCATGATTTGTAGTTTTGCATGATAATATCGGTTTATATGTTTGGTATGCATGATAATTATGTTTAAATGATTTAGATTATTTTATGTTTAATATATGTTCATATGCATGATTAGAGTACTTATAAACTGTTTTTCAACAAACTTAATTTAAAAAAAAAATTAATTTCCGAATGTAATTTATGAAAATATTTGAACAAACTTATTAAATAAACTGTCTTTATTTTCTTGTTCATATATATTATATTCTTTTTTTATTTAAACCTTGCTCAATATGTTTTCGAACTAATGCATGCTTATACAATTAGTACGATGTTTAATATATATGTTTAGTGTTTGATTTGCATGCCTCTCTATACATATGTATTACTTTAAATGTAATTTCCGAAAATATTTAATTTATGAAAATATTTTAAAAAAACTGTTTAAATAAATAGCCCCTCGTGTTAAACTTCCAAAAATAGGTTAACACGTTTAAATATAATTTCCGTAATATCCATTAACAAAATATTAAACATATAAATTTATTCCCGAAAAAAACTGGACGAAACACTGTTTTTTATAATAGTATAAGCATAAAAAATTATTTTTATTTTTTATATTATAAACTGTTAAATTATAATCTGTTTTTAGATAAACTGTTTTTCCAAAAACTGTTTTTATACAAACAGTTTTTATATAAACTGTTTTTATAATTTATCTAAAAAAAACTGTTTTTATAAAAACTGTTTTTATAAAAACTGTTAATTAAAAACTGTTTTATTAAACAGATTATTGTAAAAAATAGTTTTTATAAAAACTGTTTTAATAAAAAGTGTTTTTATAAAAACTGTTTTTATAAAAACTGTTTTTATAAAAACTGTTTTTATACAAACTGTTTTTATATAAACTGTTTTTATAATTTATCTAAAAAAACTGTTTTTATAAAAACTGTTAATTAAAAACTGTTTTATTAAACAGATTATTGTAAAAAATAGTTTTAATAAAATTTGTTTTAATAAAAACTGTTTTTATACAAACTGTTTTAATAAAAACTGTTTTTATAATTTATCTAAAAAAACTGTTTTTATAAAAATTGATATAAATAAACTGTTTTATATAAACTGTTTTATTAAACAGATTTTTGTAAAAAACAGTTTTTATAAAAACTGTTTTAAGAAAAAGTGTTTTTATAAAAACTGTTTTTATAAAAACTGTTTTTATAAAATCTGTTTTTATAAAAACTGTTTTAATAAAAAGTGTTTTAAAAACTTGATTTAACAAACTGTTTTAAATTTATTTTAAAATGATATATCTAAAACATAAAAAATGATCTCCTCTCATGTAAACTTTGCAAAAAGTTTAACATGTTACCTCCAAGGGCAATTTATTGCCAAATTATAGAAGAACTTATTGTGAAAAAATATGGACCCCTCATATAGAAGAACTTATTATGAAAAAATATGGACCGCTCATGTTACCTCCAAGGGCAATTTATGATAATACTTGTATAAATTTTTATAGTGAAAAATAATAAATATACCCCAAACTTTGAAAGGGTGTGAGGTAAGCACCCCAAACTTGCATAAGTAATTTAAACACCCCAAACTTTATATAAAGTTTGGGATATTTAAATTACATATGTAAGTCTGTGGTGCTCTTGTCACATCCCTTCAAAATTTGGGGTATTTTTATTATTTTTCCCTATAAAAATTTAATAAACTGTGTATAAGTTTAATATGAGTGGTTCAATAATTTCTAATAAACTCATCCTATAATTTATCAATGAGTTGACCCAGTCGATCGAAGAATCGATCAGTTGGAGCTTGTCAATGAGTTGACCTAGTCAATTCTTAGATAAGCTCCAGTCTGTCGATTCTTCTGGCTACGGCTTGAGTCATCGATGGACTCTCCCAAACGCATGTACTGACATTATGTCGCTACATGTGATGTAGCCCATCCATGGTTCAAGGCGTAGCCTGAAGAATCGTCAGGATGGAGTTTATCAATGAATCGACTGGGTCAACTCATTGATGAGCTCCAACCGGTTGATTCTTCGGTCGACTGTGTCAACTCATTAATAATTATAGGATTTGTTTATTAGCAATTATTGGAACCTGATATTAAACTTATACCCAGTTTAATATGTTATATACATTGACAATAGACAATACTTACATAAAAATTTGATCTTCTATTATAAGCGTTCTAACAAAAAACAAAATAAATTAATATATTTTAGATGAGCAACGAACAATCGACCTCGGCTCCCCGCCCTAACTATGCGCCCATGTCCGAAGCGGAGCGCAACAACGAAGGAGCTGTTTGGGTGAACCCTGCAGAAGTTCTTTTGTAAGTAGTTATGAAGAAACCTTATTTTCAATAATTTTATATAATGTTAAATAATCTAACCAAATCTTATATAAATAAATACTATTAATTTTTTTAAGTGACGAACAAGTGTTCAAAGGCATCAAAAGCATAATCGGAGGACACTTTCTTGGCACTTGGGCCACGCTGTCGGATGTTGACCCCAAGGTTCGCGAACTATGGTGGAACCTGTTCAAGGTAAAAATAAATGAATGTTCCCTCCCTGATTGTATTGGCCTAATATATACCTGGTGATTAATTAATCCAATTTGTTTTAATAAAGGCTCGCTATCGTTGGACTCACGCAAACGGTGCCGATATTCTTAAAGCCTACAATGCTAGGATTTCGACCTGGCTTCGCGCCACTTTTAAACGTGCGCGAAAAAGTGGGAAAAAGCCTAGATGGGTTTCGGATGAAGTGTGGTCCAACCTTTGTCGTCACTGGTCTTCTGATCCGAAATTCTTGGCTAGAAGTGAATCCGGTAAGAAAAACCGGATGTCCGAGAAGGCCTTGGAGATGCAGTGGCACGGAGGTCGTAAATCTCAGAATGCCCATAAGGAAACTCTTGTAAGTGCTATTCAAAAAACCTTACAACATCACAATCCTTCATTATAAAAAATTTACTTAAGTCTTTTTCACACCATTTAGGCTGGTCCTGAGAAGAAGAGGGTTGATGTTCTCCGGCTCGTCAAGCATTGCTGGACGAAGCACGGCGAGGAATCTGAAGCCGATTTGCCACCCCGCCTCGCTGACTTCGAAGTATGTAACATCATATTTTGTTATTTAGTAACATTTCAAATCTAAGTATGTAGCATTTAAAAAATATTTTTGAAAATGCAGACGAAGTACAACGAATCCGTAGACAGGCAGCGTGCGGCACGAGGCTTGACCCAGGAGGACGACCTCGATTCCGATGCGGATGATGAGGCGGCCATTGAGGCGGCCGGGGTTTACAAGGGCCGGGTTCCGTGCTTGGGGTCCGAGGGGCAACGGATTTTGTATGATCGAAGCACCGGTGCCTCCTCTTCTCGGTCAAGGCGGGGAGAAGATCCTCGTATTGCTACACTGCAGCGTGAACTGGAGGAGCACGAACGGCGATGGGAGGAGCAGCGGAAAGCAGATGAGGCCACAAAAGCCCGGTTGGAGGAGATGGAACGGTTCATGCGTGCCGGATTCCAGCCTCCGCCACAGCCTTTTCCTCCCCCGTACGTATTCCACCCTGAGCAAACTCCTCAAGTTCAGCACATGGGCGGTATGGGATTTTTCCCCACCTCCGGATACGGTGGCATGCCGATGATCTCCCCGAATTTCGGATCTATGTCCTTTGACTTTGCGAGGTCATCCGGAGGAGGTAGTGGCACCCCGGGTCATGGAACCCGAGGAGCACCCCGAGGAGGACCCCGAGGAGCACCCCGAGGAGGAACCCGACCTGACCCCGAAGACCCCCCCGTGAACCCAGATGAGTTTCTTGTTGATGATGATGAAGAAGAAGAAGAAGAAAATCCCAATTTTTATCATAATGGAGTCCCACGGGACATGTAATCATCATACATTTATTATTTGTTGTATTTCAAAACATTTAAAAGTTTGTCACAATATTTATTGAATTTGTTGTATGTCTTTACTCTTAAAATGTATTTATTTTAAAAAAAAATAGTATAATATTTTCAATAACTCATTTTTCAAAAAACATTTTTAAATTTAATTTGTAAACATCCGTGTTTAAAAAAGTAATTTCTAAAAACATTTAAAAAAAAAAGGAAAACTGGAATTTTTTTTTAAAAAAACAAAAAAAGTAGTCACGGCCTTATCCGTGACTATAATTAATCCGAAATTATTATTTTTTTTAAATAAAAAACATAATATTTTTTCCAAAAAAACCAATTAGTCACGGTCGACACCCGTGACTAATTTCAAAAATTTAAATTACCGCTGCGGGCGGTCTGTTAAAAATTTTGAAAATTAGAAAGATTAGTCACGGTCCAAAACTTAGTCACGGCTTCTGACCGTGACTAATACGCCGGAGTGGGGTTCCGGCTAGTATAATAGTCACGGTCGGCGGCCGTGACTATTCCGTGACTAAACTTAGTCACGGTTTGTTGGACGTGACTTCAATTTAGTCACGCCCATTAAGTCACGAACTTAGTCACGGTCAGCGACCGTGACTACATCTGTTAGTCACGGAAAAATTGAACTGCTGTCCGTGACTAATGTGAGAAATAATACCAGGCTTAACCATAATGGTAGCCCTGGCAGATATATATATAGGAAATAAGAGTAATAATTACAAAGGGAGTCCCTCAATTATGAAAAATAAATAAATAACTAATCTACTCTATTACACCCCCTCAAGCTGTGCAGGGGAAACAATGCGCAGATTGTCACGAAGAAGAGTAAACCGTTGTGGGGACAAACACTTTGTAAAAATATCTGCCAACTGAGCCTGTGTAGGAACATACTTGACACAAAGATCTCCATGAGCCACCCGTTCACGAACAAAATTGTAGTCAATATTAATGTGCTTACTCCGAGCATGCTGAATAGGATTAACAGAAAGATATGAAGCTGAAACATTGTCACAAAACAAAGTAGTAGGCATACGAACAGGGAACCCAAGCTCGAACAAAACGGAGCGAATGTGTATAGTATCCTGCACTGTAAAAGCCACAGCACGATATTCAGCCTCTGTAGAAGAGCGGGAGACCGTGGGCTGCTTCTTGGACCGCCAAGAGATGAGATTGGGTCCCAGAAAAATAGCATAACCACAAGTGGAGCGACCAGTATCAGGACACCCAGCCCAATCAGCATCTGAATAAGCAGTAATAGCTGGAGATCCTCGAGAAGACTGAAGAAGTAAACCATGTGTGATGGTGCCCTGTAGATACCTGAAAATACGCTTAACAGCCAACATATGTGAAGTACGGGGGGCATGCATAAATTGAGAAACCAAGTGTACAGCAAAAGTAATATCTGGTCTAGTCAAAGTCAAATACTGTAATGCACCTACCATACTTCTGTATTCTGTGGCATCAGCAAGGAGCTCTCCATCAGTGAGGGAAAGTTTGGTACGACTCGGGAGCGGTGAACGAACAGATTTTAAAGTATGAAGATGAAAACGATGAAGAAGATCAGATATATATTTATGCTGAGAGAGAAACAGACCAGAGGGAGTACGACTGGCGTGAATGCCCAAGAAAAAATGCAAATCACCCAAATCCTTCATAGCAAAACATTTTGCCAATAGAGACAAAAAATGAATAACTAATGTAGAATTATTACCTGTAACAATGATATCATCAACATATAACAACAAGTATATAACATCAGAATGGCGGCGAAAAATAAATAAGGAATTATCAGACCGGCTGCAAACAAAACCATGAGACAGAAGAAAGCTGCTAAAACGATAAAACCAAGCACGTGGGGCCTGTTTGAGACCATAAATAGCTTTACGCAGCCGACACAAATGAGTAGGAAACTGAGGATGAACAAAACCAGCAGGTTGACGCATATATACTTCTTCAGTAAGATTACCGTGCAAGAATGCATTTTTGACATCAAGCTGGCGAACAGGCCAACCAAAAGACACAGCTAAAGAAAGAACAAGGCGAACAGTAGTAGGTTTGACAACAGGACTAAAAGTTTCAGTAAAATCAATACCTGCCTGCTGCTTGAACCCCTGAGCCACCAACCGTGCTTTATAGCGATCCACAGAACCATCAGATAAGTATTTAGTCTTATAAATCCATTTTGACCCAACCACATTCTTACTAGCATCAAACGGTACAAGATCCCATGTATGATTCGAGATGAGAGCATTAAATTCCTCAGCCATAGCGGCTCTCCACTTAAGATATTTATTAGCCTCTGAAAAACAAGTAGGATCATGTGTGCTAACAACTGTATTTAAATTGAAAATTGGTTTGGGTTTAAAAATCCCGGATTTGGACCGGGTTTGCATGGGATGAACATTTACAATTGGAGCAGAGGAGGGGCATGTAACTGGAGAAATAGGCTCGACATGGGGAGGAGAGGGACTGCCTGCAGTTTCGGTATAGATGCTGGGCTGAGGAGATCCTATAGGGGAGCTAGGCGAGTCATCCAGAAGGGTATGGACAGTGGGGCTTGGAAGTGGAGCTGGAAAACTGTTTGATGGGACAACAGGGTAGGTAGCAGTAACCGAAGGCACACCTGGGGCTGGAAAACTGTTTGATGAGGTAGCAGGGTAGGTAGTTGTAACCGAAGGCATACATGGGCTGGGAAGGGAAGAAGGTGTAGGAGGGTGTGATACCTGGGAGTCACGTACAGGAGTGAGAATAAGGGAAGAAGATGGATAAGGCACAGTAGGCGTAGATGAATGAGGCACTGTGGTTCGCGTTAAATCAGAATATGGAAAAATAGTTTCTAGAAATTTGACATTCCGACTGATATATACCCTGCCAGAGATAGGATCATAACAACGGTACCCTTTATATTCAGATGCATAGCCAAGAAAAATACATGTGACAGATCGTGGCAAAAGTTTATTCGCAGATGAAGCATTAAAATTAGGAAAACATGCACATCCAAAGACTCGCATCATAGACAAATCCGGTTTGGAGTGAAATAACTTTTCATACGGAGAGAGACCATGTAGAGTAGGAGAGGGTAAACGATTGATAATAAAAGTGGAGGTAAGCACGGCATCAACCCAAAAAGTAGCTGGTAAATTAGCAGTAATAAGCATAGTGCGTGCAAGCTCAAGTAAATGCCGGTGCTTACGCTCAGCCACACCATTTTGCTGTGGAGTTTCAGGACAAGATTTTTGAAAAACTATGCCATGATTAGTAAAAAGATTTCGTAAAGATAAATTATCAAATTCACCCCCTCCATCACTCTGAAAAATCTTAATCTTGCGGTCAAGTAGATTTTCAATCATTAATTTAAAATGATGAAAATGAGTGAGAACCTCAGACTTGCGCCGCATGGGATAAACCCAAGTGAAACGAGAAAAATCATCCACAAAGCAAACATAATATTTAAAACCAGTAGGAGAATGAACAGGAGATTGCCAAACATCAGAATGAATTAAATATAAAGCACATGGACTATTATGAAAAACTTTATTAAACGGTAACCGTTGAGATTTTCCTAAACGACAGGGAATACAATCAGAAACAGAAGTAGCAGTTCCAGAAATACAGTGATTAATTCGAAGCTGATCTAACACACGATTCCCACAATGTCCTAATCTATTATGCCATAGAGATAGCGAAACTGCAGATAAAGCAATAGGTGAAGATGCAGGTTGGCGAACAGGGTAGACACCATTATCACTGTGCGCCCGAAGAAGAACCGCCCCCGTTGTTAGATCCTTAACATAAAAATAATTTTTGTCAAAAATAACAGCACAGTTGTTATCAGCACACAATTTTTGAATGGACAAAAGATTATATTTAATGTTAGGCACATAAAAAACTGATTTTAAGTGAAGAGGACGGCTGGAGGAATTTAACATAGTCTGACCAGTATGCATAACAGGAAGAGATGTACCATTTGCAACAATGATAGAATGAGAATTAGGGGAAAAGGATTTATTAGATAAAATACCTGGATGTGGTGTCATATGCGCTGAGGCACCTGAATCAGGATACCAAACAATGTCGGATGTCTCAGGAGCGTGAGCCGCAAGAGCAGGTGCAGCCGGCTGAATGAAACGAGAGGGACAAGTAGACGCGGGGTGACCTGGAGCATAACAAATCTGACAGACAACAGGGGGAGGGACTGAATTCCCTTCACCAGATGAGGAGCCTGCATAACCATGATTAGCACAAGAAGCAGATAAAGCATAAGTATTAAAATTTGACTGAACAGACATACTTGCTGAGCCTGGAGCCCCAAGAATGCCAGCATGTGGTGCACCCCCTGGAACATAGCCGGGAATAGGATAACCATAGCCAAAACCAGCCGGGAAAGGGCCATAGCCACGACCTCGCTGCCCCCGACCTGCACGCTGCCCTCTGCCACGCTGCCCGCGGCCTCCCCTTCCGCGCTGCCCTCTGCCACCGTGTTGCTGTTGCTGCCCACCATGGTGCTGCTGCTGTCCGCCAGGGGGAGATGGGCCAGCAGCCGGAAATTGCCCAGTAAAAGCCTGAGATGGAGGAGAGTCTTCCATGGCACGCATATATTGAATGGTCTGCTCCTTTTCAATAAGATGAGTGCGCAACTTCTCAAACGTGAAACTCTCAGGAAACAACTCAACCGAAGTAATAACAGATTCATAATCTCTTCCCAAACCCCGCAAAATAATCTGAAAAAGTTCCTTGGTAGAGACTGGAGAATTAATGCAATTTAAATTATCAACAATATCCTTAATATCCCTGAGATAGTGATCCATGGACTGAGTGGGGCCCTTGCGGGCATGAGTCAACTGCCTTTTTAATTCCATGCACCTAGCAAGACTTGCAGACATAAAATGTGACTCCAATCGACCCCAAATAGCGGAAGCATTCTTTAACTCACGAACCTCGATTAAGACATCACGTGACAAAGTAGCAAACAACCAAGAGCGGACAGTTTGATCAAGTTTTAACCAATGACAATAATCGGGATTAATAACCTCACGCTGATATGCATCATAGACATAAGGGGAGGGAGTAGGAATGGAGCCATCTAAAACACCCAAAAAACCATTGGAGACCAAAAAAGACTCAAACTGAGTACGCCAAGACAGATAATCTTCCACAGCATTCAATTTAGTAGTAACAATATTTGTAATGTTAAGAGCAGAAAATCCAATGGTTTTAACTAATTCAGACAAAGAAGAACCTGAGCCGGGCAGAATGTTCGATCGTGGAGCAATAGGACCGGGATTGAGGAGTGGAGCAACGCCGGGGTCACCTGTGAATGTCGGACCAGCAAAGGTTGAAGAGGATTCGGCCACGCGTGGGATGCTACGACTGCCAGAGAAGAGAGGATTGGACGGCGGACGCACCGTAGGGGGAGTAGGGGTCCACGTGAAGATGGGAGGTGTCCAGACAGCATCTTGAGAGGTGAAAAAGGAATTCTGCATCTGGGGATGTTGAACCGAGGAGAAGAGGGTGGCAGACGGAGGAAGCTGCGCTGCAGAGAGAGACGGAGCGTGGCAGAGAACAAAATCGGCGTTAGAAGCAGGCGCTGTAGACGAGCTCGACGCCGGCACCGACTGAGTATCGAACGAAGAAGACATCGGTAGGGAGGACTCAGGGGCGGCGGAGCTTTCCTCGGTAGACATATCGGCCGAAAAAAAAATTAAGGGTTTTAGATGGCTTTGGCTCTTGATACCATGTGAGAAATAATACCAGGCTTAACCATAATGGTAGCCCTGGCAGATATATATATAGGAAATAAGAGTAATAATTACAAAGGGAGTCCCTCAATTATGAAAAATAAATAAATAACTAATCTACTCTATTAACTAAGTCCGTGACTACACGCGTGTTTTTTTGTAGTGTTGCTGGCCTTCGATTTACTGATTGTCCGGAATGCGGGTTTCTATCCGTACCGTAAGGCGGTGGGAGCTGACGACCGCCGTCCACCACCGTGCACTGCTGAAACTCCGGATAACTCTTTAAGGGCAGTGGTCCAAGGGAACGATCGTGTTGATGCGTTCAATTTGTTCAACTTGTTCAATTTTATTTATTTCATACTCCTCATACTTGTTCATAAAAGTAGTGGTGACTGGTGAGAGTAAATTCATAACGTGTTGATTTCTGCCATTTTCAATTTGTTCAATTTCACGTGCTTCAGGATATGTTCTTTGGTTGTTCTATTTCTATTCATGGGTACTGCTGGTTGCTGGAGTGCTGGGTTTACTTGGAAATCTTTACTTTAAAGCTTCTGTTGTATTTTTAATTAGTTTTTTTGTAAGCTATTCATAAAATACTCAAAGATTTGTGGAGAAATACTACGTCCCTATAATTTTCTTATTGTTTAGATTTAATGTCACAATTTAATCATAAGATTATTATAAAATTTTAAAATATCATCAATGTCACTAAAATGTCATAATATCAAAGAAACGTCAAAATGTCAAATAATAGCGCCGTCAATGTCATTCCTATTTGATTGATTATGAATCGATATCAATGTTATAAAAATGTCATTGTAATAATCGCAATATCTATATCTATAATAATGTCATGATAATGTCAATGTTATAACAATGACATTGTTATATTAATGACATTGTTTAAAACAATGCTATAACAATGACACTATTATAAAAATGACATAGTTAAAAACAATGTTATAACAATGACACTATTATTAAAATGACATAGTTAAAAACAATGCCAATATCATAATATTGTAAATATTGTCAAAAGAAAAGAAAAATGTTACAATGTTAGGAAAGCATCACAATGTTAAATAATGACAATGTTATAAATGTCATTGTAATCATCACAATATCATTATAATGTCAATGATATAATTATGACATTGCAAAAATGACAATGACAATGACTTCCAAAAATCTAAGGTAATGTCATTGCTATAATGAGAAAAATGATATAATGTCAAAAAATGAACCAATATCAACAATAACAATAACACTATTTTAAATGACATTGTAAAATGACAATGTCAATATATTTTGATGTTGATGATAGCCCCAATATTAACATTATAAGAATAAATGGCTAAAAATTAACGTAATAATGATAAATTTAACATAAAAGTTAAAAGAAACATATGTGGAGTTATTACAATTTTAAAAAGAAATCAGATAAAAAACCAAAATATGAATAAACAGGGAATAAAAAAGTAAACAAAACCCAATCTAATCACACAGACCAGATCAAAAGAAACGAAATCAGAAACGAAAAATGACCGGCAAGCCAGAGACGGAAGAAAAGAAGAGGATAGAAGGAGAGGAGGAGGAGGAGGAGGAGGAGAAAAGAGAAGAAAAAGAGGAAATCAGATCTGTGACATCTTCACCCGTTGCACTGCTTCTCATTCTAAAATCAGATCTGTGTTTTCGGCAACGGTTTCCGTCGATACAGCCCGGATCTTCTTCCCCTGCATCTCCTGCGGCATGAATTCGGCGAAGTCGGCCATGGATTCTAGCGACATGACGCACTCATCACCTCTCGTCCTCTCCTTTGACAGCAGGTTATTGGTGATGGTAATTGCTTCATCGGAAAAACGGCGGAAGCAATCCACGAATGGAAGACAATGTAGCTGGCCCTTCAGTGGATACTTGTGGAATTGCAGAGACGAGCAACAAAGACATGGAGTAAGAAGAAATAGGGGTAAATTTGGTAGCTCTTATTTTTAGTCCTATATGGGACCATTTCTCATAGACATTTCATTCAGAATTAATGGGGTGAATCTCATATTCATCATCACATGCATGC